CCAGGGCTGGGTTTGAACCTGCCACCTCTGGCATATGGGGCTGGCGCCTTACTCCTTTGAGCCACAGGTGCCAACCAGAATGTATGTTTCTTTCTTTCTTTCTTTCTTTCTTTCTTTTTGGAAACAGAGCCTCAAGCTGTCCCCCTGGGTAGAGTGCTCTGGCATCACAGCTCACAGCAACCTCCAACTCCTGGGCTCAAGCGAGTCTCCTGCCTCAGCCTCCCAAAGTAGCTGGGACCACAGGTGCCCCCCACAACATCCGGCTATTTTATGGTTGCAGCCGTCGTTGTTTGGCAGGCCCAGGCTGGATTTGAACCCGCCACCTTAGGTGTATGTGGCAGGCGCCTTAGCCACTTGAACCACAGGCGCTGAGCCAATGTATGTTTCTTATTAGAAGCCTGGTATCGAATACTCAGGGACACTCCCTTGGAAGATGCCATGGCCTCTGGTCCCTGGGACCATCCTCCTCACCTGAGACTTCCTAACATCTTAAGGCTCTGACTGCCTCCCATGGAGAAGCCACTCAGCAGGGACTCAGGTGCACAGGCGCTGTCCCAGCCCTTGTTTTATTTCCCAAATGTGCTACTGGTTGGCTGTGGGGGCCTTAGCTAACCATGTAACCCTTTTGGCCTCCAGCGTTTACATCTGTAAAAAGGAATGATGGTGCTGGTGATACTATCCATCTCACAGGGCTGTGGTGAGAATTTTAGACATCGTTGAAATGTCCCATTTGGGGCCCTGCCTACCTGGCAAGTTCCTACTTTGCAGCCACACCCTAGGCTGCTGGTACAGGCTGTCCCACTCCACCAGCCCCTCTGCTCCTTCCCGGGCTCATAGGAACTATATTGGACCTGCCAGTGACTCTGACCCGCGTTCCCTCTCCCTTACCAGTCCTCCTTGTCCTCTGCAGTCGTCGCCTGGCGTGCCCCAGCTGACTCTACCCACCATTGACACTGCCTCGTGCAAGCCTCACGCATGCCTCACCGCCTGCTGGTGATGGGGCCAACTCATAAGCGGCCAGCGGCCTGTACACGTCATAGGGTTTTGTCGCGTCACTCCCCCGAGCCGCAACCAATCAGCGTCGACGCACCCCAGGAACACTCCCCAGCAAGGGGCTTAAGCTGAACCGCAGTCCTCTCCTTGGCTCCTAACCAAGGTTGGGG